TAGGGCTCAGACCTTGGTACTCTGATAGGGGATGTGGGCACTGCACAAAATGCCCATCCCAAAGATGGCTTTTTAGAGTTTTGTGGGCAGTTAGATAAAACTGATGAAGTCATAGATGCTCTGCCTAGAAATATGTGCATGTATAGCAAAATATAAAGGTATGTGTTACACAGATTTTCTTAATTATTATAAACAGTGTGTTTTTAAAAAATTTATTTTATTTGAAATAGAAGATATTCCATCCATTGGTTCACTCTTCAAATGGCCACAACATTCAGGACTAGGCTAGGCTGAAGTCAGAACGTAGGAACTCTTATCAGGGTCTCCCACGTAGGGAGTAGGGACCCAAGTATTTGGGCCATCACCTTCTGCCTCCTGGTGCATAAACTGAAGTAAACAAAGGCTGGACTGAAAAAAACACAAGGGAGTAAGTTGAGTCATTTGTTAATCATTCAACCAGTCTCAGATCACTATTCCAGGAATTGTGTTATTTTTCTGTCCCTCAGCACCTGAACTGCTTCCTGCATTAAGGATATTCCACACTTGCATAGCCTTGGTGGGAGGCAGGAACCAGTTCTGTCCATGGAAAAGGAAAGTTCTCTTTCCCCAGCATTAGTGCAGTTGCCACTACATGAGGCTTGGGCTCTCCCAGTCACATGATCCATCACCTGCCAGGCTCTGATCAGGATGGGATGCAAAATGCCTCTTAAGATGGCGCTGAATGGGGCTGGTGCTATGGTGTAATGGGTTGAGCCTTTGCGTGCTGCACCGGCATCTCATATGGATGCTAGTTTGAGTCCTGGTTGCTCCACTTCTGATCCAACTCTCCTGCTAATGGATGGACTGGGAAGGCAGTGGAAGATGGCCCAAGTGCTTGGGCCCTTGCACTCATATGGGAGACCCGGAAGAAGCTCCTGGCTCCTGGCTTCAGATCATTCCAGCTCTGGTTGTTGCAGCTATTTGGGGGTGTGAACCAGTGGATGGAAGACTTCTCTCTCTATCTCTCCCTCTCTCTCTAACTCTGCTTCTCAAATAAATGAAAATTTTTTTTTTAATGGCATAAACGTTGGGGCCAGTGTTGTGGCATAGAAGGTTAAGCCTCTGCCATCCCATGTGGGTGCTGGTTCAAGTCCAGCTGCTTTACTTCTGATTCAGCTCCCTGCTAGTGGCCTGGGAAAGCAGTGGAAGATGGCCTAAGAGCTTGGGCCCCAAACCTGAATGGGATACCCAGAGGAAGTTCCTGGTGTCAGATTGGCCCAGCTCCAGCTGTTGCGGCCATTTGGGGGGTGAGCCAGCAGATGGAGGACATGTCATTCTAACTCTGCCTCTCAAGTTTCAAATAAATGAGTGTCAGTAGTGACTGCGTGCCAAGCCACAGGGTCCATGTCCAGCTTTATGGTGTCAGCCGTAGGGGAAGTAGTACCTGTGTGGGACTTGATCTAGGGTAGACTTGTGGATTCTGTTCCTGGCTGTGTAGCCAGTCTTGAGCTTAGTCCTGTGTGACATATATGCACACATGTGTATGTAAATTCCTTATGTTTGGGGCCGGTGCTGTGGCACAGCAGGTTAACGTCCTGGCCTGAAGTGCCAGTATCCCATAAGGGTGCTGGTTCTAGTCCCGGCTGCTCCTCTTCTGATCCAGCTCTCTGCTATGGCCTGGAATAGCAGTGAAAGATGGCCCAAGTCTTTGGGCTCGTGCACCCACATGGGAGACCTAGAAGAAGCTCCTGGGTCCTGGCTTCAGATCAGTGCATCTTCTATCTGCTGGCTCACTCCCCAAATGGCTGTTGCGACCAATTGGAAAGTGAACCACCAGATGGAAGACCTCTCTCTCTCTGCCTCTCCTCTCTCTGTGTAACTCTTTCAAATAAATAAATAAATCTTTAAAAAAATTCCTTTATGTTTAAATTAGAAAACCTTGCATTCCATCATTTAAGAAGTGAGTGATAAATCTGTGTGGGGAGTAGATTCAGAAAGCAGCATTGAGAGATTTATACTGAGCTGAGAGTCCTGTCCTATATCTTCCATCTGACTAAATCTGTCTCTCAGTAGAGGAAGTGATACGTATCTCCCAGCGTCATGCCTCATAATCAGCTAAATAGACTCTCCCTTTCCCTGGAACAAACAAGACTGTAATGTGGATTTAAGACCCGTCTTCCCCTGGGCATTTGGTGGTCACTGACCTCAGTGGTTCCCAATCTGGTGGGGCACCAGGATTGCTGCTGCATTTGTTATAAAGCATCCAGGTCTCTAAGCAGATCCACCATCTCAAGTATTGCACACAAGACCAAGGACTGCTTATTTACAGGCCTTATGGGGGAGGCTGACGCACAGATATGGGAGTTCTGGTCACTGTTCTTGCTACCTAACCATGTGGTCTGAAGACCAGCAGCGTCAGCAGCAGTCATGTCCTAGATGCAGAATCTCCTGTTCAATTACAGACCGTCTGAGCCTTACGTACCGTCCAGACGTACCAGCTCTGCAGCAACACTGGAGGTCCAGGGCTCATTCCTTGTTCTTTTTCTCTGACAGCCAGTCACTCCGTTTTTGTGGCATCACCCCTCATTTATTTCCCTGGCTCACACATTTCTCCTCGATGTCCCCAAACTTCTCTGTCCAGCTGCCAGTCCAACCACTTCAGCTGCAGTTCTGTAGACGTCTTGGCGTCCGCGTCTCTGCACTGAAGGCTGGCACTGTGCCCTCCTCACCTGTGCACCTGCTGCAGCCTTCCACCTCTCCACTCAGGGCAACTCTGCCTTCCTGATGACACAGTGTCACTTTTCACACCTGTATCTCAAACCCTTGGTTCAGTCTGTTAGAAAACTCATCTCAGAGTCTGTAGAATACCACTTCCTGGTGTGTCCAGTGCTCACAGCCCAGATGAAGTACCTGACATCTCCAGCCTGGAGCCGGAGTCCTGAACTGCTTCCTTATCATTTCCCTCCTGCCTCACCCCCCACTATTCCTGTGGGGAGCAATTCGGACTAGACTAAGTTACTGGAATTAAGACTTATTCTATGCATCTGCTCTCCCACAATATGGCGCTGGGAGAGAAGAAAACAGCTTTTACACAGCTGCCTCCAGTTCAACCAATAAACTGTAGGACTTGCTCCTGATTGGAGAGCAGCGTACTCGGCGTGTGGGCAGCCGAGTTGGGATTGGCAGAGGAGGACTATAAAGGAGGAGAGAGACAACATGCACCAGGAACATCTAAGGGGAACATCTAAGGGAACACCTGTGCAGCCCCCGAGAGAACCGGCCGGCGGTGTGCCGCTCCCCTGCGGAAGTGGGGAATGTGGCCAGGGGGAACTGCCCTTCCACGGAGGTGGAAGGGACAGTAGCCAACCCGGGAAGAATCAGCAGCAAACCCGGGGAGGGCCGAGCAGACGAAAGAACAGCGCAGGGTCCTGTGTCGTTCCTCCACGAAGAGGGGGAGCGACAATTCCCACAGCACGTAATTCTAACAAGTATTTTATTTACTCTGAGTTTATCTGTCTCTTCACATTGGCAGACATAATCCCCAAGACTGGCCTGTTTTTAGTTCACTGATCTAGAGATAAATAGTGTGGTGCACATAGTGCTCAACAGATATACTTGAATGATCAGTTTAGAGCACCCCCACCACCACCACCACACACTGTCAGAATTTTTTAAGATTGATTTGAGAGGCAGAGTTAGGGAGAGACAGAGGTCTTCCATCTGCTGGTTCACTCCCCAAATGGCCGCAACAACCAGAGCTGGACTGATTTGAAACTAGGATCCAGGAGCTTCTTTTGGGTCTCCCATGCAGGTGCAGGGGCCCAAGGACTTGAACCATCAAATACTGCTTTCCCAGGCAATCAGCAGGGAACTGGTTCAGAAGTGGAGCAGCCAGGACTTGAACTGATGCCCATATGGGGAGCTGGTGCCACAGGCGGAGGCTTAGCCTACATGTCACAGCGTTTCTTGATGGAAGTAACCTCAGAGCAAATGCTTTGTGGCAGCTACAGAACAGTGTGCTGTCACATAGACGACTGCTCTCACATGGGAGTCCGTGCCGCCTGTACTTTACTCATAAGTGCTGTGCTCCCTTTTTCTCTCGGCTTTTGGTTTCCAGTCCTGCACAGCTCAACACATGATGACATTTCTGTCTTGGGAAAAGATATCCTAGCCTTATGAGCTCCATCTTCCAACCAAATATAAATAAAGATTGGAGTCTGCTGTATAAGTCCATGATTTTTGATTTGAACTGTATCGGTGTGAAGAGGGCATAGGTGAACAAACAAAATAGAAACTTAACAGCAGTTTATTAAGGTGAGAAGTTATGGGATCTTTCCTCTTTGCTATCCTACAGTCTGGATCCTTGAAAAAGATTGGGGAAGAAACAGAATAACAGTTGAGCGAATGGTCCAGAAGGAGGGCAAGAGTTTGATGGGTCTGAAAATCCATCTCGTGGTATCACAGACCCTCCCTCTGCAGGGGCAGACTGGGCCGCGGCCGGCGTGCTCGGAGTCGGCCATGCTCCCCAGTTCTTCCCATTATGCTGGTAGAACGCAGACATTCAGATGCTGACTGCAGAAAGGAATCAGGAGCTCCTGAGGTCAACGGTGGTGTCTTGAACAGATCTTGCCATGCTGAGTCTCGTACAAAGCAGCTGTCACACTGAGGAATAGTCAGGAAAGAACTCAGATCAGCTGCTCCAAGTGGTGACCTGAGAATGTCCTGACCCGGAGACTCCCCAGGGCCCCTCTCCCACCTAGACCCTCCAGGGTCTCACCTGTAGAAGCTGTGAGAGACCCATCAGAGTCCTGGGTACTGTCGCTGCCTGGGGCAGAACAAACAAGACCTGGTCAGAGGCCACGGGAAGTGTGGATGCAGGAGGAGTGGTGGGGTGCATGGACTCCCCCATGGCTCTGTCCACACTGCCCCAGGGCCTCAGGGGTCACCCCCTTCATCCTTACTTGCAGCCTGAGTGTAGCTCCCCCCTTCTCCACCTGTGAGAAGAAAATAGCCGGTCAGAGGCCAGCGAGCAGCAAGGGTTACGAGACCCTAAGGAAGCTTCCCGGCCCGTGACTGCAGACCTTGGGCAAGAGGGGGACACAGGGGAGGAGGTCTGCCGGAGGCAGGTAGCTCCCCTTCTGGAGGGTTCTCAGCCGGGCCCTTCCGCTCTGGCCGACCAGGTTCAGGCCCCCATCACTGCAGTCCCCAAGGTGGTAACTTGGTCCTTTATTTTCACACGTGGGCTACAGTAGCGTAAGTGTTCCAGTACCTGTGTGTGGACTGTGCTTCCTGTAAGCGAGGCAGGGCACACTTCTACCTGGCACTTCAGTCCATCAGTGAGACAAGAAAACCCCATCCTTCACCCTTCCCTACCTGAGCTCTTCTTCCTCTTTATCACAGCAATGAGCATTGCTGCGGTGACCACAGCTCCAAGAATGAGGCCAGCGATGGTTCCCACGATTAGTGCTGTGGGCTGGGATGACCGCTCTGGGAAAGGGAGGGAAGACGAGGGGCTCTGCTGTGGTTTGGGTATAGTTTGTTCTGCATGGTTTCTATGGCAGAAGTTCGTTCCCCAGCATGGCAGTGTTGAGCTGGGGTACCTTTAAGAAGTGGGTCCTGGGACACTGCCTGTGCTGCCTTTGGAAAGAATTAAGGTAAGACCCTGAGTTAGGGAAGAGCCCCTCCCTGTCTCACGATGGGGCTCTCTGCGCCCAGTCCCCTGCCACTGTGGTGCCATTTGCCACAAGGCTCTCACCAGAGCTGAGCTGAGCTGATACTGGCACCATGCCCTTGAACCATTAGAACTGAAATAATAAACCTCAGGTATTTCACTACCATGATGGACAAATTATAAAAACCAAGTCTCAACCCTGACCCTGCTGACAACTTCATGTTTTCCCTGACAAGAGGCCCCGCCCCCCTGCCCTCCTCACCCCATGTCAGGGTGAGGGGCTCGGGCAGCCCCTCGTGCTGCACACGGCACGTGTATCTCTGCTCCTCCCCAGAAGGCACCACCACAGCCGCCCACTTCTGGAAGGTTCCGTCGCCCCCAGGCCTGGTCTCCACGAGCTCCGTGTCCTGGGTCTGGTCCTCCCCATCCTGCTGCCAGGTCAGCGAGATCTCCTTAGGGTAGAAGCCCAGGGCCCAGCACCTCAGGGTGGCCTCTTGGTCAGAGATGGGGTGGTGGGTCACACGTGTTTCTGGGGGGACTGAGGGGGAAAATAGGGAAATTCAGACATTTTGCATTACCTCCCAAGGACCACGGAAGCAGTTCTCATGTGACCATCTGGGAAGGGACAGGGCGGCTGCAGAGGAGGAAAGTACAAACTGACACCACCCTGGGCTCAGCTCACGGTAGGGGGCCCCAGGTCTCTCAGGTTCTGGCCTGGGGGAAAGACCCTGAGACCTGGAAAAGCTGCACTCAGCCCCTGAAAGACATTGGGTGCAGGGCCGAGAAAGCCAGAGAACGTGACCCATGAAACCCAAGAGTAGTGCGGGTCAAAGGGAACTGACCAGTTATTTTAGGAATTATCTTAAAAAAAATTTTTTTTTGACAGGCAGAGTTAGACAGTGAGAGAGAGAGAGAGGGAGAGAGAGACAGAGACAGAGAGAGAGAGAGAGAGAGAGAGAGAGAGAGAGAAATGTCTTCCTTTTTCTGTTGGTTCACCACCTAAGTGGCCACTACGGCTGGTGTGTTGCAGCCGGTGCGCTGCACCAATCCGAAGCCAGGAGCCAGGTGCTTCCTCCTGGTCTCCCATGCGGGTGCAGGGCCCAAGCACTTGGGCCATCTTCCACTACACTCCTGGGCCATAGCAGAGAGCTGGACTGGAAGAGGAGCAACCGGGACAGAATCCGGCGCCCCGACCGGGACTAGAACCAGGGGTGAATCCACCGCAGGTGGAGGATTGTCCTAGTGAGCCACGGCGCCGGCCAGGAATTAGCTTTATCTTTCGATCCTGGAGAGGCTTGACCCCTTACTGTCCTGAGAGAAGGGCTGGCTTCAGTGACTCTCTAGTACAGGACCTGGAAGTCCAGGACTCGTTCCCTCTGGACCCAAGGGAGAGCAGTGTTCTGGTTGGCACCACTTTCCTCTCCTCTCGGGAGGCAGGTGACGAGACGGGAGGTCCGGAGGTGCCTTACGTACCTGGGCTCTGCAGCGTCTCCTTCCCCATCTCCAGGTATCTGCGCAGCCACTCCACGCACTCCCCCTCCAGGTAGCTTCTGCGGAGCTCAGCTTGACCGCACGCCTCCCACTGGCGCTGGGTGATCTGAGCCGCCGTGTGGGCTGCGGTCCAGGAGCGCAGGTCCTCGTTCAGGGTGATGTAGTCGGCGCCGTCGTAGGCGAACTGTTCGTACCCGCGGAGGAGGCGCCCGTCTGGCCCCAGATGGCAGCCGCACATAGACTGGTAGGTGTGAGACCCTGGCCCCGGCCCCGCCCCGTGGTCAGTCTTGGCCCCAGGGCGACACCGACGCGAGGTGACGGTCAGAGCCTCCTCCCACCCCGCCCTGAAGTCCCTCAGGTTCCTCTGGGGTCACAGGAGACTGGCGCCGTCTCAGCCTCGTGCGCGGCCCGGGCGCACGGACGCCGGGGACAGGCCGTGTGCGCCTCCTGGTCACGTACCGGCCTCGCTCTGGTTGTAGTAGCCGCGCAGGTTGTCGAGCATAACTCGGTAGTTCTGTGCGCTGCGCTTGACGAACCGCGTGTTCCGGTCCCAGTACCCCGGCTCCACCTGCCGCATCCACGGCGCCCGCGGCTCCACCCTCGGGTTCTCGGCGTAGCTGTCGAAGCGCGCGAACGGCGTGTCGTCCACGTAGCCCACGGTGATGTACCGGGCTTCCCCGCGGCCCGGCCGGGACACGGCGGTGGTGAAGAACTGCAGGGAGTGGGAACCTGCGGTCCGAGGGCGCGGCGCTGAGCTCGTGTCCTGGGTCTGGTCCTCCCCATCCCGCTGCCAGGTCAGTGAGATCTCCGCGGGTAGAAGCCCAGGGCCTAGCACCCCAGGGTGGCCTCCCGGTCAGAGCCGGGGTGGTGGGAGGAGCGTGCCGGGAACCGGAGAGACGGAGCCCGGGCTGGGGGCCTGTGGCAGAGCGCAGGACTTGCCGGTCAGCAGGGGTCGCAGGGCACGGAGAGGTTGCGGGAGGGGTCAGGACAATGGGTGACGATATGTTGGGGGACACTGGGCCGGGACGGCGGCTTCCCCGGGTTCCTGAGCCCCTGTCCCGTGGCGTCTACTCTTCTACCCCGCTGAGGCCGTCTCCGCACCCCGACCTCATACTCACCTGCCCGGGTCTCTGCCAGCACCAGGGCCCCCGAGAGCAGCAGGAGGGGCCGGAGCCCCAGGGTCCCCATCCTCGAGTTCAGGGGCAAAGACTGAGTCCCGACCAATCAGCTAGGACTTTAGGCTCAGGAACGGGCGAGGCTGATCTAGAAACCAATGGGAGTGAGACCCGAGCTCGCGTCACCGGCGTCCGGGCAGAAGAACCAGAGCCGGGTTGTGGGAGGGGAAGTGAAAGTGCCAGTCCTGGGACCCTGACCCCACGCGGCGCACAGCGGCTCCCAGAGTTCTCTTCCCGCAGTGCTCCAAAGTTTTCTATTCCAGGGTCTCTCCATGCGCTCAGGAATCAGTGAGGACCCCGAAGGTAATTTATTTTTCTGGATTATATTTAGCAATATTAAAATTAAGACCGTTTAAAAATACTTCGTTCAGAAGGATAATAACCATTGTATGTTAAATTATTTTTAAATGTGAGAAGTGGCTATTTTCCAAAGTAAACAGAACAGTGAGAAGAGTGGCATTTTTACAGTCCATATTTTTGCAGGTGCTTTTCTATATGACATCTAGATTTTTGTATCTACTTCTGCATTTTACCTGGTATTTTGATCAAAGCATATTAAAAAAAATCTAGTTTTACAAAAATATACAGGAAAATATTTTTAAAAAAGGATTTCTTTATTTGAGAGGCGGAGTTAGAGAGAGAGAGAGAGAGAGAGAGAGAGAGAGAGAGATATCTTCCATCCACTAGTTCACTCCCTAAATTGCCTCAATGGCCTGGAGCTGGGCCGATCAGGAGCCAGAAGCCAGGAGCCAGGAAGTTCTTCTGGGTCTCCCATGTGGGTGCAGGGACCCAAGCACTTGGGCCACCTTCTGCTTTCCCAGGTCATTAGTAGAGAACTGGATTGGAAGTGGAGCAGCTGGGACTTGAACCAGTGCCCATATGGGATGTTGGTGCTGCAGGTGGAGGCTTAACCTACGCCATAGGGTCGGCCCCTTGATTGTATTTTTTTTTAATTTCTCAAACAGATTTTTATTAAGCAGCAAAGCAGAATTGCAACACAATTTAAATATTTGTCAATTATTTTAACAACAGGTATGCAAATGTTTGCAGTAATTACATATTTATATAGCTAATGCCATCCATCAAATCTTACATTAATACATAAGATTATTTCATGATAAAAAGTAGGAAAACTTAATCATCATAAACTATATTAGTTGATCTCTTTTCCTAGAATATTTTAATATTATTTCTGACTTTGATTATTCCCTTACCAATCTATAAACTAAATTTTAAAAATTGTTAAAGGATGGTGAAACTCTGCAAACCAAGTTGAGTTTACAGAAAATTCTTGGAGAACAAATAAGAAAAAAAATACTTGGGCCAGCACTGTGGCACAGCTGGTTAAGTCTGCAGTGCTGGCATCCCATATAGACACCAGTTCAAGTCTCAGCTGCTCTACTTCCAATCCAGCTCCCTGCTAACACACCTGGGAAGGCAATGGAGGATGGCCAAGTGCTTGGGTCTGGAAGAAGCTCCTGGCTCCTGGCTCCTGGCTTAGGCCTTGCCAACCCTAGCTATTGTGGCCTTTGGGGAGTGAACCAGCAGGTGGAAGATCTGTGTCTCCTTCTCTCTCTATAACTCTGCCTTTCAAATAAATAAATCTTTTTAAAAAAATACTGAGCAAGATAATCAATTAGTACATATGTAAAGCTCTCCCAATTTATTCATGATTCTGATACTAATATACTCAAGGAATCTTGCAGTTGATTTTGTGTATACTACAAATAAACCCTGAGACCAAACTCTTTGTAACTATTCTCTTCCAGTGATGTCTTACATAAGATTAAATAATTCATTTTCATATATATTCCCCCAAATATATACCCCCAAATATATACTCTGTTCCAGAGGTAACACAAACCCGGAGTGAAAACATTTGGAGTTGTTTTACTACTGTTTACCAAGTATTTTTATATCTTATTTTATTTTTCCACAAGATTTTCTAAAAATGCATTTTTTAAAAAAAATTTCTGCATAGTTTTTAAACACACATGACTAGAACCAAGTGGATTATTTTGTACAAAAGGAAGCTTTTTATTTATTTATTTATTTAATTTGAAAGGTAGAGTTACAGAGAGACAGAGGGAGAAGGAGAGGGAGAGGGAGAGGGAAGGGGAAGGGGAGAGGGAGAGATATCTTCTATCCGCTGGTTCACTCTCCAGATAGCTACAATGACCAGAGCTGGGCTGATCCAAAGCCAGGAGACAGGAGTTTCTTCCCAGTCTCCCACATGGGTGCAGAGCCCAAGGACTTGGGCCATCTTCTACTGCTTCTTCTGGTTCTCCCATGGAGCAGCAGGGACTTGAACTGGTGCCCATATGGGATGCCCGCATTACAGGCGGTGGCTTTACCTGCTACATCACAAAGCCAGCCCCAAGGAAATTTTCTTTCTTTTTTTTTTTTGACTATTTATTCTTTCTTTTTTGTTAAAGATTTATTTATTTATTTGAAAGTGAGAGTTACACAGAGAGAGAATGAGAAGCAGAGAGAAAGAGAGAGGGGTCTTCTCTCTGCTGGTTCATTCCCTAGTCAGCCTCAATGGCTGGAGCTGTGCCAATCCGAAGCCATGAGGCAGGAGCTTCTTCTAGGTCTCCCATGTGGGTGCAGGGGCCCAAGGACCTGGGTCATCTATTGCTTTCCCAGGCCATAGCAGAGAGCTGGATGGGAAGAGGAGCAGCTGGAACTCGAACCTGTGCCCATACGGGATGCTGGCACTGCAGGCAGCAGCTTTACTCACTACACCACAGCGCTGTCCCCTATTTACTCTCAAGGAAAAGAAAAATTTTTTTAAATCCTCCATCTGTTTTCAATTGATGAAAGAGAAACCAGCAATCCTATCTCATTACTAAACATCACAAATGACAAGCTCTAGCTGAGAAAGTGTCTTATTTTTGTTAAGTTTCAACAATTAGGGTTCAGGTTACATCATAGATGATTACTAAAATTACTTTTACAAATGTTAAACTGTTTTCTTTGGGGAATGGGTTGGGAAGGAAGAGGCAGATGGGGCAGAGGCATGGCACGGTGCACAGGTGCATCAAGCCATGCATTCGGCACATGAGCTTGGCCACTTTTTCACAACATGCTGGGTTTTCCTTGTATATCTTGCCAGTCATAAAAGATAACTCTAAGCCTATAAATGAAAGCAAATTCAATAAAACATTCATCTTTGAGTGTCATAAAGTTATAACACTGGGATGTTATAAAGTCTCTACAGTACATTTGCACATTTTCATCATAGACTAACATAATACACAAACTTGTGGAAACATCCCGTTAAGTAGTCCATTTTGCCTACATCTGACATTATCTTTGTAATTATTCAGTTAAGCCACAATAAAAGTACTGTAATTTTGGGAATCTATGGAAGTTTTATAGGGGAAAAAAATAAGGGTCAGCAGCCACTCCATGAGAGAAGGGACTTCAGTCCTCTACTTCCTTTTGCTTTTTGTGTCAGTTGTTTGAAAAACACCAGAAGCTGACATGAGGCTTTCTGTATATTGTCCAAGAACTTGGTTTTCTGATTCTAACTTCAGAGTTTCTTCCTTAACTGCATGTACTTTTGTAGACAGATCTTCAAGTGTGTGCTGAGTGCAAACACTTGGTTAGTAAGTTGTGTATTTTCTTCCAGTTCCACCTGATTTCCAGCACCAGCTGCATCCGTCAGCGTTCATCATCTTGGATCAAGAACTTTTTGGGCCTTGGATGCCAAATCCTTGATGAATGTTCTTCCATCTGAGGCACAGAGAAAGGGAGGGATTGAGAGGTTGCTTCAGGCCAGGGGACTCAGATCAACTGTGGAATGAGAATGTTTTCAATAATGTTTTCAAATAACTGAGGATATTAATGTTTGATACTACACTGGGATGATGCGAGTGTTAACTGCTGCTGCTGCTGCTACTTCTTTTTAAAGATTTATTTATTTATTTATTTGAGAGGCAGAGGCAGAGGCAGAGAGAAAGAGAGAGAGAGAGAGAGAGAGAGAGAGAGAGAGAGAGAGAGAGAGATATCTTCCATCTGCTGGCTGCAACAGCCAAAGCTGGGCTGATCTAAAGCCAGGAGCTAGGAGCCCCCTTAGTTCTCCCACACAGGTACAGGGGCCCAAGCACTTCAGCCATCTTCCATCTGCCTTCCCAGGCCATCAGCAGGATGCTGGATTGGAAGTGGAGCAGCCAGGGATGGGATGCTGGCACTGCAAGAGGCAGCTTTACCTGCTACACCACAGCGCCAGCCCCCAGTGTTAGTTTTTTGAATGTTCCTTGCAGTGTAGAACCTGCAATATTATTATTGAATATTTCATATTCTGTTACGTTAAAACCCACAGGTCTTCCTTACACGTTGAGTGGATCCTGTTTTAATGCTTGAGTTTTTAAAAAGTATTGCCTTATTTCATCAAGTTGTGTAGATCTTCCAGTGTCAACACATGGAATTATAAATTGTAAAACAAAACAAAACAAACAATGTGTGTTAATATTACCACAGATTCCTCCAGAGAAGGTTTTAAGAATTGACAGGCTGTGAGTAGTGGGTATAAGTTCTTCAAAATTATAATTTTCTCTTGAGAGCTTACATTTTATTATTGGCAAAAATACTGTCAGTGGATTATCTTGAAGGGACAGGCTGATGGTATTCTCAGAAAGTGTTGGCTAAATGTCTAAATAATCGTTGTTTCTCTGTCATTCATTCTTTCAAGTAAAAATAGTATTCCGTAAAAGAATGCTAGGAGTCACGAGCATCATCTGGTTCTTCCACATGGGTGCAGGGGCCCACGCACTTGGACTATCTTCTGCTGCCTTCCCAGTCACACCAGCAGGGAACTGGATCAGAAGTGGAGCAGCTGGGACTGGAACTGGGATCCATATGGGATGCAGGCATTGCAGACATTTGAGGAGTAAATCAGCAGGTGGAAGATTCTCTCTGTCTCTCCTTCTTTCTTGCTCTGCATTTCAAATAAATAAATAAACAAATAAATAATTTTTTAAATAAAATAGTTCTTGCAATAATAGGCCTAGGACAATGGTGTTGGAGATGGAGAAGAAAGACAGGAATGTGGGGAAGAGGGGTTGATCTGCTTTTTACTTTGAGGATCTGAGC